CAATTAACCTTACTCGAAAATTTCGCCCGTTTTTGTCCAAGCAAAGATTATCAACTCATTTTAATTTGTCATCTCAAAGAGGAGGTATAGTCCTCTTTATTGCATTTCTTGGCGATGTGTTTAAGCCATTAAAGGCTACAAAAAGTATTTATTGAGTCAAATAATAAGCAGCAGTTGTGAACTGCCTTCTATATACCACCCGTTTTCCAAAGAGTCTTACGTGTGCGGCCAGTTTACTAATTGATTTCGATATTCAGTGGCGTCTCTAATTGATTTTATGCAAATTTGAGGACATTTTTAAGGGCTCGGCAAAAATCAATATCCCTTTACGTGACCAATGACTCACCTGATTTTCTTACCTGTTTTTACGAAGTAAGCCACAGTTATTAGCGAAGATTTAGGGAGCGCATACTTCGCAATCACGAAGATGTCATCAGGTGAGTGCGGATTCGACATAAGATGACATAAGATGACCTACACCAGTTGAATTGCGACGTTACTATGCAGTGAAACGTTACATGTTTCATCTTTTGCAAAATAAATGAACCGTTTGCCTCCCCATTTTCGTAAACAAGGCATTATATCTAGTTTGCCATAAAAGTTGAGGATGGAAAAGGAAACAAAGCTTTCAATTATATATTGCTTGACCAAATGTATTCCCACTTCTGTGTTTTTTGACGTACTCGATTCACAGGCAGCCGAAGCTCACTACAAGAAAAGCGGACGTGACTCTTACAGTGTTGCGCAACGTTTTATATTCATAAAGGCTTGTATGGGATGTTATCGGTTTGCCTTAAAAGAGAGAAAAAATGTCTCGTTTTGAAATAAAATGGACTTACCTTATTGCCTTGTTGTTTCCTTTGTTGATTACTTATAGCGCTCACTCGCTGAAAACGCTTCAAAATGGCCTGAGACGCTGGTAATCAACAAAGAAAACAACAAGGCAATAAGGTAAGTCCATTTTATTTCAAAACAAGACATTTTTTCGCTCTTTTAAGGCAAACCGATAACATCCCATACAAACCTATATAAATATAAAACGTTGCGCAACACCGTAAGAGTCACGTCCGCTTTTCTAGTAGTGAGCTTGAGTTGCCTGTGCTCGATTACGGATAAAATTTCTCTGCCGGCGTAAACCGAAGTGAAATGGGAAGCAAGTTTCTTTCGCTTTAGTTACTTCCGACTAAGCCAATCAAAACGCTCGAAAAGCATTATTCGCTGTTTGTGGTATATACTTTCGGATCACAAGAGCACACAAAATGGGTTCACGTGAAACCTTCATTTTAATATTGAACTGAGAATCCAGCATTTCAGCATGAAGCTAATTGACCCTTCTCTGACTTGCTGTCGTACTCAAGGCATTTATTTACAACACTCCTCCTTGGCCCTTTTATCGAATATATTCTTGTTTATGTTTATAAAGTCAAATTATTCCTGCCTCTAAAATCGCGCTTACTGGCGAAGCTTGGTCCTGAGATTCTGGTGACAAATCTTGAGCCTGCGGATTGCACACGGTTCGGCGGTACTTCGCTCGAGCGTTTTGAAACCAAACTTGTAAAACCCGTTTAGAGAGGCCGGTTTTTTGAGAGAGTTGTTTCAAGTCTTTAGCATCGGGATTGTGATTCATTGCGAAGTACGCTTTCATTGCTCGAAGTTGATGGTGCTTGAACGACGTGCGCATGCGTTTAGGTTTTGTGTCTCCATTGTGCTGACCAAGATGATTTTCATTGTCCGAGATTGTAAATCCTGAAAAAAAAAAAAGAAAACAAAAAAAAAACTTAGCATCTCAAGAACAAAGCATTTCATTTGGTGACTCTATACTAAGAGACAAGGTCTACAAGCAATAGAAAGCGAAAAGTAATGCTTCATATTTTCGAAAACACATGACATAAGTACGTATGATGCACGATCCTCGCAGTAGATAGCGCTATTTAAGCAATAGCGAAAATCAGACCTGAAAAAAATCAGGCCTGTACGGGATTCGAACCACTGACCTCTGCGATACTAGTGCAGCGCTCTACCAATTGAGCTAACAAGCCAACTGGGAGCAGGCCGTTAAGTTGATTCGTAATAAACCCGTGAAAGTGATAAATCAGATACAATGAAATATATGAAGTTCATATATTTTGAACTGCGGTATTAGATACNCTACTGCGAGGATCGTGCATCATACGTATCTAATACCGCAGTTCAAAATATATGAACTTCATATATTTCATTGTATCTGATTTATAAAAGATGTAAATCGTTTTTACCAAGCTTTCTATAGCAATAACGCTTACAAATCCATATGAAAAGTAACAAGAGACAGTGGCAATTTTTTTTTTTTTTGTAGTTACCGATGAAGACAGCTGTAATGGCCATTAGTAAGTAACGCCTCGGCGCTCTTGCAAAAAGCCACTTTCACTTCATTTCAAAAATACTTTCTTTGTTTTTTAAATTCGCATTGACTTGTAAATTAAGGACTCCACAGAATTTACGAGTAGTTGAAAATTACGTGTAAATTTTCTAACAAAACAATACCGCAGTTGTTAAGTAAAAACTATTGTATTCGGTGGTCCCACGAGGGAACAAAAAATCTTGAATTGAGTTGAAAAAGACGCCCACATCACGCTTATTTTTAAACCTGAAGACCATTTATTTGGCCGTCCAGATGTCGCTAGCGCATAAAAAACGTTCTGTGACCTATCTTGTCATAAATCAACCGCTGGATTCCCTCTATTGTCTAGGTTAACACCCTTAAGGCTACACACATGGAGAATAAAATATAAACGCAGATGTCCTTTCGTATCAAAAAAATAAAAATCTTCCCAAAAGATGTCACCCGGGAGGATTTATGTATTGGGGGCGCGCACGAACAAGAAAAGACTCCATGCCTCGGGCAGATGAAAATGGGGGACACTCTTAACACGCTTAAGGCTACACACGTGGAAAATAAAATATAAAAGCAGATATCCTTTCGTATTAAAAAAAAATCTTCCCAAAAGATGTCACCCGGGAGAATTTATGTATCAGGGGCGCGCACGAACAAGAAAAGACTCCATGCATGCCTCGGGCAGATGAAAATGGGGGACACTCTTACAGCGGAGTAAAACGCCTTATTCTTTTTATTAGGTGGATGCCTCAGACCAAATGAGAGCATATTGCACCAGAGTGATGGCAACGACAAAATAAACAAAAGAAAAGACCTCTGTTCTTTTAGAACCATAACTTAAAGCCAATCAAAGCTATTATCACCTCTCATTAGTCATCAGTTTGGGTTATCAGCGCGATTTGTTTGCTAAAACTCACCTGATAAAGCCGCTACGCCCTCAAGAGGTACGGACATTTTCTTTTTTCTTGGTCTTCCTTTCGTTGTCGAAGAGCCTAAGGTCGTTTTTAAAGCCTGCGCCTCCTCTCGGAGGATTATTTCGTAGTCTGCTTTGCAGAATATTTGCATTCCACGCATACCAAAGTATTCACCAGTGGCCAAGATTCGTTTGCAGCGATCGCAGGCGAAACAGCTGATGTGGTAGACATGTTCGCGGGCGCGCATCACTAGCTCTTTACTTGAGATACCTTGGCTACAAGCAGCGCATCTTTTGACTGAGAAGCGACTGGAAGAGAAAGAAGGAGAGCTCGAGTCCATAAGGGAGAGATTTAGTGTGTTAAATTAAAATAACTTAGAGTGGTTTTTGGATCCTGACAGGAAAAACAACGGCATTCTGAAACGAACTAGTCGTTATCAATTTAGAATTTTCATGAGATGGAAATAATGTATAGAGTTCGATCCAAATCAGCTGAAATGTTACTTTTGGAATTTATAAAAAAAAAAACGCCTCTAAGTTATTGATATTTATAAAATAACTGAGAAATCACACGCGCGCTGATTGATCAAAACCTGTCCTCTGAAGGATAAATAATGTTTTATAATACTCACAGACCGCATTTTACATCGATTTAGCGGCGAACTAACCAACTTGAGGATATTAAAGGATCACACACACGCGTCGATGGCGAGGGATTTACAAACTTTTCTGTTATTCTCCTAGCTCCCTGTGTTGGTTCTTTCGGCCGGTAAACCTATTAAAACTGCGTTTTCAGTATTGCTTACCTCTTCTGTGAAGTGAAACTTCACTGATAATAAACAGCATTGCACGATTCGAAAAATTTTCCAATAATTAGGCTATTGGGTATCAATCAGCTCGTAATTTCACGTAAATCATTGACAGTAACTAACAGTAAATTGAAATGGGCCTCATCGCTGTTCAAATACTGAAAATTCCCACCGCATACAATGTACGTGGCTCAGTTTTCCAGTAGAACATTTTATGCTAAAAAGGGGGCAAGAGATATATTTTCCGGCCTCCGTGGGAAAAAAAAATCAGAGAAGCTTGTATTTTAGGAAATTCTGTTTTTCCTCTTCCAATAAAAAGTAACTTTGAAATAGCTCTTGAAAAAAGTGTTTGAGGATGTTGCAAACTGTGTTGTTACGGGAAGTTATATATCTTATGAGTACCGTGCTTTACCTGGAAGATCGAACGGTAGAAGTTGCGTGGAAATAAGGGAAAACGAAAATGATTTTCGACTGAATTCATTTGTTTTGCCCAGAAATTCCTGATCCTATTCAAGTACACTTAATTTTTGGCATTTCTCACACAGACTGTGGTGAACAGTCTCAATGTTATGTCTCGATTTTCTCCAGTTGACGAATACTTTTTTTTTCGCTGGCTCCTCACAATCAATGAAGTTGACACTGATCAAAAATGTGAAAAGAGAAAGTTTTGTTGCGGGCAAAGCACTCAACACAGAAAGCAAAGAAAAGGATATTTTTTAAAAAAATGTCTGAAAATGTTTTAACCGAACAGAATATATTCGTTTTCTTTTCCAAAATAACCCAATACAACATGTTTCGCAATAAAGTCCATTTAAAACGACGAAAACAAAAATAAAAAACAGCTGTATATGGTTAAAAACCTCGTCGGAAATTTCTTCAAGGATAAAACATTTTGTTCGAGCGTCTATTCGTGTCCTTTCTAATGAAAAAGCGTTATCAATATAAAGATTTCTTATAAAATGCCAAGTGCTTTTCAAGTGCATTCACTGCATTATGAAAACTGCCTTCTGTTAATATCTCACAAACCCGCAACAAACAGTTCAGAATCTCGCACATAATCTGGCCGTAAATCCGCGACCTATTTTCATTACTTACCAGGCTTTCTGGCGCCTAATTGATGAGATAGAATATCACTTGGTTGATCCTGACCGATACTGACTGATAACTTACAAAATAAGCCTTTATACTTATGATAAAACAACGAGGAAAGCTTATCTCCTTTATAGGGAACAATGATATGTGGAGCATTGGCAAATGTGTGATTTGTTCAAATTTTTGCAAAAACAAAGAAAGAAAAAACGCTCGAGGCATGTATTATAATTTTTTTTCTTTTCGTTTTTTATTTGAACATGAAAAATGTATCTGATTCTAAATTTTTCGATTAACTATAATTATTCTTTGGTCTGTAGAATCAGAATCGAAATTTATTAATGAACGCCGTAATAAGTATTTGCCCTTTCCGATGGAGAGTTGGTAATTTTTCAAATTTTTCAGCACTATTTTGCAAATCTTGCTAGCTTGGTTAAAATCTTTTCTATTATTTCATACCTGCCTTGAACAACTGTAGAATAAGTATTATTAAAAGGTCGGCGCCTTTGAGGGCTTAAATAGAAGATGTTTCAAATAAAATAGTTGGACAAAAAAATAAATCAAAGTTTCCCCTCAGTTATTTTTTCTCTTTGTTTGTTTGAGAGTTTGTTTTTTTCCCAGGGTACAGCTTCTATGTTTGTTTGGACTAAATTACCATTGCTGCACAGTCAACACTAATTTCGAAATTTATCGCCGAGTGTTATGACGTCTAACAAAAAAGATGTTTTTATTAGTACAAGAGGACTTAGCACGCAAGTAAATACCTCGGTCAGCGCTATAGATTTGCATATGCGCGTGATATCAGTAATATATATATATATATATATATGTGTATGAAATAGGTGAGTGCACTTTGAAAGAAAAACAAAATAAAACAGAATTTGCTAAAACAAACTGAAGATCAGTATCAGCGAAACCAATATTCGGCGAAGTAAGATAGAGATGAGAAAATGAAGAATTAAGTTCAATTTGTACAATAAAAATTCAAGCAAAAACTAAGTATCACTTGAATTGCGATAATTTGAAGAGAGATTCGATTGATAGTCACTCACTTGTAGTAATCTTCACGACACAATATGGCTCCGTCCCTGGTAAAACACGTAAGTTCGTTGTCCAGCCTTAAGCTACATTCGCTGCATTTCAAACACTCAACATGCCATTCTCGATCGACCGCCATCAAATAAAAACGCTCGATAATCCTTGTGCCACAACCTGCACAGAAGGAGGCCTTTTCGTCGAGAGTGACTTGATCTGCTGTAGGCATGGCCTGGAAGGGAAATTTCAAACAAATTGCTTTAACAAAAGAAGCAGCATTATGTTGACAACCAGATATCGAATGGGTAGAATATTGTGGTTCCGTTGTCGCCAGAACTAAAATAAAAACAAAACAGACCTCTTAAGGATGGAATGTTTTTGTGGCAACATTTTTCTGAAGTTTATGGACCACTAGAGCGCTGATGTCGCTAGTCCCTGCAGGGAATTTCGACTTTAGAGAAATTCTACTGTGATTTTCCTAGGAAAGCACGAATTATTAGTACTTCGGTGATTTTAACTATATTGTTGAAATGGCTTCCGAGGAAATCGTCTAAAAAAAGTTCTTGAAAGTGTGCGGCTGAGGTTAGTTGAATTAGTAAGCAAGGAAAGTAACGCTATGATAATGCTCTTAGTCAAAAGCACCCATATTGTCCCGAAAAAATTTACTCGGTATTTGTTCTCTTACTGAGCTAGTTTAAGGTTCCTCTCGACTTTGGACGCCATCATAAACAATTAGGTTCTAATCGTCGAGAAGAAATCGCCACTAAATTAAACAGGACGTTGAGACCATTATGACTTATTTGCAGTGTCCTGTATTGTACGGGAATTAGCATACTTTGTGTTAACTTCAAATGCAACACAAACACAAACACTTGGCACAGTTACACAGCGAGTCTTTTACCTCTTGACAGTACATTTTTTTCTAAATGAAAGCAGTTACAACTTCTTGGTCGTTGGCACTCTTTGAATCCTCTGCGCCATTTGCTCTCCGGCCGGCGTCTCAAAGTTTACTGGGTTAAATGCACTCATGCACAATGCATGAAACCAAACAGGTCCTTTATTTTCGCTTCCTGGGCGGCTCGATAATTTTACACCAACATACACCGCATAATCTTCAACAATAACTACATTATGGTGTCTGAATTCTTAAAACTTTCGAATAGATTTTGAAAATCTCTATGTTTCAAAGGATTGAGTAGCAATTTGTAAGGATTTTACATGGTATGAGTCCGGATTTTGGTAAACTTACTACTACCTGCTAAAGTATTCGTACCGGTGATCTGAGTTGTGGTACTATTCAGTCCAGAAGGCACAGCGCGAAATAAGGTTTAAACTTGAGGTCAGACGCTTCAACAAGCTTTCAAATTATACGTTATGTTCTCTTAATAAAACAGTTTGTTCTTGCCACACGCTGGGAGAAAGTCCGTTATGTGCTTGCACGGGGAGCGAAGTACTCTTGGTTTGTTCGTTATTAGCAAGCAGAACGAAGTGAGCAAGACCTGTGACGCTTTTGAAAAACTTAGAAAAGCGGAGGTCGATTTCACAGCCTTACAACCAATCCGATCTCATTGTTTGGCCGTGATTGACGTTTGTGTTATAAACAGTGAACTAGGTTCCGCGTTTGATACATTATTGTTACCTATATTTCCGTTTTCCTCTCCTGTTTACCTTTAATAAAATCTAATAAAATTACGAGCGGAGAAATAGAATGTCTTGCACGCGTAAAGTAAGTGTCACGGTGAAAAGCGGAAAGAGCGCTCATGCTTTTTGGCTTGCGTTCAATACCCAATACATGTCTAACAGGTATTAATTGTGCATAGAATATTTGATGATGTTTTCTTAACTCGACTAGTACAAAGGACCTTAAAGGACCTTTTGATTTCTATGCTAACAGCCTCGAAAGGCTAAACAATGGGTCTGCACAGGACAAAGTAATATCAAGGAAATTTGACATGTGTAAAATCAAGCCAAACTGTTTACCTTTTGAAATAATTGACAAGTTTTTTTAAATTGATTACATTTCACCTGTGATTGAATTCGGGCGCTAAAGAACTGCATTTAGCGATCAAAATGGCTTTTCAAGATTTCCAAAAGATTTCTGAGCCTTCTTAACAAAGAAAATCAAATGCGTATGATTCTATTTAATCTGAGAGTAGAGTTCACTTTGGGCGTTCAAATTTTCAGGTTCTTGTTCGCAATACTCGCCAAATCAACTCGAATACTATAAGAATCATTTTCGCACTTGTTCCAGTCTTGCGACAGCTAAAGGAGCATATATACCAGGATAACCTTGGCCAGTGTGTTAAGTTAATTCTTCTTCTTCAGAAATATGAACGAAAATTTACACCGCCTAAGTGTTCCGTACAATACCTTAGCAAGATACAGCCAGCCAATGAATAACCAAGCTTGACAAGGGTATTGACAGCGAATGACATTGAAAAATGTAAAACTTGAATGACTAGTAGGACGTCATCAATTTCAGTTTATTGCCTTGTCAAGGGAGGTTTTCTGGTTATGATAGTATACGACATTCAATTCTGAGTTCATAAAAAGATAAAATTAGGCTCGTATTTGCATTAATTTTTTTTTTTTTTTTACAAAAAAAGTGTTTTGCTCGTTCCTTTCTCTCGGCAAAACGAGGAGGAAATTTAGATGACCAGAGTAAAAACAAGCTAAGCTGGTAAATCGGATAAGTGTTCTCTTCTTTAAAGGCAAAAAAAAAAACATGGATGGTCAGATTAGAGATCTTAATCAGAGTCGAAGCAGATAAACTAAAAATTAAGAAGAATGCATCAAACTTAAGTATATGCTGGCCTGAAAAGTTTTTCAATTAAACCATTTGCGCAATGAGTGAACAAAACCTCTATTTATGATTTAGATAAAAAAATGAAAACAGTTTCTATGAACGGCTCTGTTTCCACAAAAAAACTATTAAATATGCGATTAAATAGTATTAAACAAAAAGATACAAAATTTCCGCTAATTTAGCATAACTAAGGCACGGATCTTCATCCATTTTATTATTCTTTGAAAAAAATTTGGACTTTGCCAGTTTTAGTTAACAGTTTAGTTACTGAGCGCTTGAACGAACAATGAATTTCAGAGAAGCCGGTTAAAACACTAAAAATTAAAAACCAAAAAACGAACTACACAAAAATACATCATTCGTTAGGCATTCAAACTCTTTTGAAAGCTTGTACCACTAATAGATAAGGTAAAAGAAAATAAAATTTGGTTTTAAATTATCGAAACTCAAAACACAAAAATCTGCTCGTAATTAACTAGTTAGTGCATCGGTGTTTAAGTTTTACGCTAAATTACTGTGGCTAAACATTGCAAGCCTATAAAACTTGTATTTCTTTGACCTCTTATATAACTCCTGCGAAATAATATTCATTGAAAGTTTAGTGGATTGAGTCGAATTCATTCGGAAACATTTCGTATCATTTAATTACCTAAACAGTACAGATTTCGAAATCTCTAGACAAAAGAGGGAAAGCTTTGTATCTGCGGCTGATCTGTTCGTAATGATATTTTGAAATTTGCATGATACATTGATCTCAATCGATTCACAAGCTTGGAATCCAAGGATTGATTCAACTGCAGACTCGCAACATGAAAAGTTACAAACATTTTCTGATCAGCACATTGACATGAGAAGTACCGGATGATTTCGAGAAAGGCAAAAAACCATTTGATCTTTAAATTCAGTAGGAGAACCCTCAAAGGAGAAAACTCCCGCTAACCGTGGACGTTGATGGACTAGACGAAATATCGCTTTTCCCTAAAAGAAACCCTTAACCTTGCCTCGACAAAACGTTTCAAGTTCAACCGGAGTCCCTTACCACTTTCGCACTCTGTGAAAGCCCATCGTTTCGACGAGCCAAAAATTCGCAAAAAGCGATGGAAACCATTGAAAGTTCAAATCACATCACTCTTTACCTGAAACTGATCTCGAAACATGTGCACGGGTGAACATAGACTTCACTTCCAGCTGGCTGAGGCAAATTGATTAGAACCGATGGTCGCGTAGCTTTGCTAGTTGCGGTGAATACTTGCCCGCACTGCTAGCTAAGTATCTCGCAACGGTTGCAGCTGTGTATTTTTAAGGTATGGAACCCCTCCTGAAATGAACCCTTTATTTAAATATTGCATAGTAATTTCCATATGTTTTAGGCTCGGGAACAGGTGAATCGAGAGCACTCAGATAATTCTCTTTCCGTCATTTCGCTTTTAAGCGCGTTTAGATGCGCAGAATAGCGGCCCGTTTCCGACCTCTCTTGAGAGTAAATTGCATTTAAATGGGGAAATTGTTCTTCGAGTTACAAGAGCACTTGACTCACTATCCGGAACAAAATACGGGCTACACGTGTCTGTCGAGCAAATGTCAGTTTTGTTTCCGTTCGAGAGAGAGCTGTGTCTATTCAAATTCAAATGTAGACACAATGCTTTTCATGCGTTTGTGGAGAGAGAATGGTATACCCTCTTAGTAGTGTAAGATCTCTTAAAGGGGGCATTGTATTAAAAAGTTCCCCGAAATACAACAAGATCTCGTTCTTAAGAGAAAAATTAAAAGAAGTCGATTGAGTGTGGTTGTTTGAAACAAAGATGCCTGAAGTTTACTTATCTTGATCAATATGATGTAAAACCCATTTTTAATACATTTTGTTTGAATAATTTTGTATGTGAAATGAAAGCAATACTGTGAACAACACTTCATAAAATTATGGTGCGATGCGATAACCCGTGCGCATGCGTTATTTCAAAATAAAAGTATGCCTTCAACAAGAAAACCTTTTAACTTGATCGATGGGAAGGCAAACATCTCAACCGCAATATTCCGGTGATTTATTGTTGTCAGAATTTTAAACATATCATGCCGTCTGTAGGCGTCTTTGAGCGATTACTAGCGTCAACACGCTGCCCTGCATATGTTCACGATGGCGGTTTTACTGATTAGAGAGGTAACAACAGAGTGTAAGATGTACACAAGTTGTATTGTTGCCAAAGGTATTGACAGAGCGTATTGTCTGAGAAGGATTTTTAATTTCGTTAACGATCAGCGCATCCACGTTCTGTGCCAACTTCTGATCTTTAATCAATCGGCACTGCGGGTATAATTAACAGCATTAATAAATTCGTTCTGGAAGGTTGGTTATTCGCATAAACTCTAAAAACTATACGTACCCAAGAATTTTCTTCTCGGCGATATTCGCAAGGTGTTTAAACAAAAGCTCGACCCTTTTGTTGGATTCTTTGCTAACCTCAGGGGCGTCGCGTGGCGGCACGTGCCAATTTCTGACGAAAACAACACTGAAATAGGTTCCCTGGCGGGAATGAAAAACTTCAAGGCCATTGAAAGGGTTTACCACAATTTAGTCAATGTGACAATATTTCGTTTAAATTGTGCCAGAGATTTTGGTTTTCGGTTACTTTTGTTTTTTTTTGTAATGAAAAGTAAACACAATATTCCGGAAAGCTGATAAAAACAATAAAGATTCTGTACACTCGAAGGGGAGCTGTCATTGTTTTCACAAGAAACCGATTACCTGTTTCTTAACGTTTAAAAAGCAAGAATGCTATTGTTTGCGGGCGCCAACTAGCGACAAAATCCAGCAGAAACCGAACCAAGTGGAATCCAAACAGAATTCAAACGGCGGCTCGCTGGTCGATGAAGGAAGTTCCTCGAATTTTCAGCTTCCCGTTAATTAATAAGTTATATAGTCTTAATTAGCTTCTAGCGATGTGTCATGTTGGGACGAATTTCAGCTGTGAAAATTGAAAACATTTTCTTCCACCTGCACTGGACTCATAAACAAATATAATCTAATTAGAAGAAAGATACCTTACCGCATATATTAAAAGTGGCCTAAAAGCGAGCCTTGAATAATCTGTGTTCAATGCTACAGTTAACGAGATACATTTTAAATTCAAATATCGTTCCAATCGTTTGGTTTCCCAAGGAAAATGATCATTGAAAACATACAGTTGGCACCTCGGAGAAGTCGACGTGTTATAGAGAATGTTGAAATTTAATCATGAAGTCAGGCAGATATATACATTTCTTGTCATTTCCGACTCAGCAAAATAAGACATTTCTTAGCGATTATCATTAATTGCTTACGGTTGAAAATGTTTTGCAACAAAAGTTAAGAAATTTTAAAGAGTTATACTCGTATGAACGTTTTAGTTCGGACGCTTATCTATAATTCACCACATAAGAAATTTTCGCGTTTGGCCTGAGAGGTACGCAGTATGTTTAGGGAGCGTTTTTTCGTAA